GCGGTGTGTAGACCGAAGACCCGACGAGGGTGTCGTTTTCGTTCCAAATCAGGCACCGGGAATTGAATTCTCGTGAACCAGATCTACAGCTTTTCATTGCGCCAAACAAATCGATTTCCTGGTACGTACCTCGTTCCATCTGGGGTGTTCGAGATGCTTCTCCATACTGCGTTTTACAGGGCTTCGACGAGAGGCCACTTGGTAACTATACCCTTTTTTTTTAGGGATACTTAGGAACTATACCCTGGTCATGGGAAACCCGGCCCGGTCGGCCTGACCTGACCTAACCCAGTCTTGCCCACGGGCCGGGCCTGGGCCTAAGTTTTGAGCCTCAAGGTCGGACAGGGCTGGGCTTGGGTTTACCATATTTGTGTTTTAAGGAAGAGGCTTGGCCTGAGGCCCGGCGGGCTTTTCCAGTTATGGGTTAGGCTTGGGTCTGAAATATAGGCCCGACAGCTGGGTCAAACCGGGCGCGGATCTAGGTATTCTACTGCAGGTTTTATTAGGCTTGACTCGACCTATGGCCAGGTATATTGGTAACTCATATGTGAACTAGAAAGTGAAAGATGCACTCGGTAAGGAGGTGTGTAGGGTCGTCTCTCGTAGGACTAGCCGCCCTCTAGCGCCGCCGCCCACCGCTCGCCCCCCCTAGCGCCGACGACGGCCTCCCTCGCCTTCTCCTCCTCCTCCTCCTCCAAACAACCTTCTCGCCTCCTCCTCCTCCTCCTCCTCCTCCAAACAACCTTCTCTTTGTGCCTCATCACATACCAATGAACATCTGGCACTGAGGAAAACGTGGCATGGACCGAGCTGAGGGCGGCCCTTCCCATGTCGTTGTCAGGGACCCTTAACGAGGTGCCTTGGCATATGCCCCTCGGGGCTCTTTCTCTGTCGGGTGTGCATCCCGTGACGTATGTTGGGCTATGATTCTTGGATGAACCACACCTTAGTGAAAATCACCACTTTCACTGTAGATCAAGATTTTTGTGTGGCAACTTCTTTGTGAACACCTCCCTTCGGACGAAGTTGGCCAAGCAACACGTATCGGGTGATGGCCTTTGCCCCATTTATTTGGTTCTAGAATTTAGGAACCATATTCTCTTTTCTTACAGCGGTGCCCGCTTCTTATGGACGAAGGTGGCCAAGCAACGGCTGTAGGGGAACCAATTGTGCCAGCCCACTTAGAGGGTTCGCGTGATGTTTCTTTCATTGGTTGTTGTGTTTTTACCTATTTATTGGTTTTTTTCTTTCATGTTTGGTTTTTGTGTTGTTTTTCTTCTGGTTTTCAATGCTTCTGTTTAGATTTTTCATTTTTTTTGTTTTGGTTCTTTTTCCCTATCTGTTTTTGTTGTTTCTTTCTTTTTTTATTTTTTTTGTGTATTATACAAAAAGTTCAACCACATTATGGAAAATGTTCATTGTATATTAAAAAAATGTTTTTGTATAGTAAAAACATGTTCACCCATATATTACAAAAAGTTCACCGTGCATTATAAAAATATTCATCATGTATTTAATTTTTCTCACCATATACAAAAAAGGTTCGATGTGTATTTAAAAATTATTTAGCATATATTACAAAAAATGTTCATCGTGTATTTTAAAAAAAGTTCATCACACATTATTAAATGGAAATGATCACGAACGTTCGGGATTTGACCATGGCAAATGAAACATTTTTATGAAAATTTCAGTGACACGAGGATGGCAAGTCTAGTTGCCACGCACGGCAATTCCCTGGCAAAAAGTACACCAAGCATGGAGTTGCCATGCATGCCAACTAAAATTGTCATCGAAAATGTTTGATTTGCCATGGTCAAATCCTCTCGTAGGACTAGCCGCCCCCTAGCGTCGCCGCCCACCATTTTCCTCCCCTAGCGGCCGTCGCCGGTGGTGAGGCCTTCCTCGCCTCCTCCTCCTCGAAGAAACCTTCTCTCTGTGCCTGATCACATACCAATGAACATCTGGCACTGAGGAAAACATGGCATGGATCGAGCTGAGGGCGGCCCTTCCCATGTCGTTGTCAGGGACC